ATAAAAATAAAAATTAAAAAAAAAAAGTGATTAACAGAGCTCAAATAATGGGGTTTATGCCAGTTACATACAAGGACCCTGTGTATCTCAGACTCTAAAGCTTGTAGCATCAAATATCAGAAATACATTACATAAAGTTATTACCAATAAATTTCTTTTACAATGAAAAATAAAATAGTGAGTACTGCCATTCCATTCACTCACTTCATTAATTCATAGACCTGTGAAGCCTGGATATGTAAGTAATAGTACCAACTATTGGATGCTGATTTAGAGCATGTACAGCCTCTAAATGAAACACTGCCCAAGACCTGAAAGTTAGTACCACCTAAGTCGATTGTTACTGCATCTTCTAAACAATGTTTCTACTATTACTTCAAGCTAGCTGCTTCAGAATAGTTAGTAATATGGTAAGAATAACCAATCCCATGTGTATTTTCTTGTTGCTAATGTCCTCTAACTAAAAGCAGTGACATGTAGAATGCCATAACAATAGGTAAGGTGTCCTATACACATGTCAGATTTGGCATAATTATTGCATGCAAGGAGGGTAAATCCATTTTTAAAGTTTGTATTACAATAAGAACAAAGTATTGTCCCTTTCATGATTAAAGCAACCCACTGTAATCAATATGCCATTAGGCATCTTGCTGACCACCAAGGTGAACATTGCCATATCTGAGTATCTGAGATTCAGTATTGTTGTGTGATCTGGTGTATGGGACGCAACAGTGGCTACAACCAGATCAACCTTGGTAAGTTGAAGTTCGTGTTGTGGAGTCAACACATAACTTCCATCCCTGTCATTATATCCATTGTTTATGAACCCACTGGGCGATGTCAGGAGTGGCTAGGAAAACAGTCTAACTGGTATCTTTATAATAGATCATCTTATCTGACTACTGAAAATCTTCTCTGCTGAGGTCACCCTGTGGTGAGCCTTTACATAAATAAAAATATTTTTTATAATTTTTTTGCTCATCAGAACATTTTATGCACATATTTCTTCCCCAGACCTTTTTGTCACTGAATTCCCAATCTTTTTGTCCATGTCTCCAATTATCCAGTCTAACTATTGGCCACAGCCCATGAAATAGATATATGCTCATATCACTTACCATTTCTCTTTTCCAGTAAAACAAACAAGAAGGCACACAGATGTTTCATAGACTGGGAGATTTTCTTTCACCAGTTTTTAAAAAGGGAACTGTAGTGCTGTAGGTGTCCACTTTCTCATGGTGCCACATATTACTAAGAACTGTCTGCAAACCAAGCAGCTTAAGTCATAAGGAAATTTGTTGTATCATGGTTAAGTGTTCATTAGCAAGCCAAAACTCATGATCAAAATGAGAGTCACTATGTCTCTGCGGCCGAAGGTCTTGTGGTTGCCTCCTCTTTACTGTTGGTACTGGCCTCTGCTCTTTCTTGGCTTCCTCCTGCCCATTGGCCCTTGCTTCCCTCCTTTTAT